AATGCCGTCAGTGACAATTGCATTGTATATAGAAAAATCAGGTATGGGATTGTAGATGTATGTGTCAGAGATAGCAATTAAAGGAGCCAGAGAACCTGAATTTTGAGATCCCTGCAGATCTGCCGAAGTTCGACGACTGTTTTCTTTGACAGGAGATCCTTCGAGGGAGGAGACTCAACAGAAAACATTGTCAATAAGTGTCATACAATGATCGAGAGAGCTGTTGCCGATGGATTAAATAAAGATGGATTGAATAAAGATGTTTTGCAATATCCGTTGTGGAATGGATGGAGCGATGCGCCCAAACGGAAACAAACAGCCAAACAAGGAGGAACTTTCCTCTCTCTCATTCCTCATTCGCAATCTTCTTTCCAATACTTGCATCAACCGATCTTCTTTCTCTTCCTCTCTACCCCCCTTCTCTGATGATGTCCACTGTTGTTGAAGAAAGGTAGAGTATCCATATCGTACTTGGGATCCGTCTCTATGGACTGTTCGCCCTTCCTTCTGTTCCACTGTGGTTGCTAATGCCCCGAAATGACGAACGCATTGAAAAATATCGAAAGGTATACCACTACTATATATAATACTAATAAGAATACTCTATTGTGCTACTCATAGAACTGATCCTTCCGACTACGAAGTATCTCGAAAGCGGCCTCTCGAAGAAGATCAACAGGACGATGAACCCCAGCGAAGTGACCAAAACCATATTCAACCAGGCTCCGAGGATAACGTCAATCAAGATGGAGACGGACATAGTGCAGACAATGCCAAAGAGGATGCCGATAATGTCGAGGTAATTTGAATAATCTGTCTGTTATAGTTGGAGCAGTTTCTCCCTAATTTGTCGATCGATTTTGAACAGCTAATTTTTTGTCTTTTGAAACTGAATGGGACTTTTCCATCTTGTTTATTTTAGAATCAGAAAGATAATGAACATCCCAATAAGAAGATCAAGCTTGAAGATCCGAATCTGAAGAAACGAAGCCGACGGATGTTTGGTATGCTTGTTGGCACTCTCAAGCAATTTCAAAAAGACCATAAAAAGTTTGAAGAAACGGTACGATTTCATGGCGTTATATAGGGTTTACTGATTTTTACAGATTGCGTATATTAACATACTATATACTGTCCTCCATTTAGAACAAGTCAAGATCACAAGTGGATCAACATGTCCATCAACGACTAGCGAAGGAGAGGGAAGCGGCCGAAGCCAAAAGGAAGGTGGAGGACGAAGCTCGCAAGAAGAGAATTGAAGCGGAAAACAGATTATCTGAATTGCAAAGACGAAGGCGGGGGGTATGCACTCTCAGTTACCTTGCATCCTGAGAATGTTACTAAACAAACTCCGTTGAAATCGTAATTTTTTTTGCCTGCGATAGGCCCGAACAACTCTCGCTCACCGCAACCACTTAACCTCTTACATTCGCACAAAAACATCCCCTTCAATTTATTATCTTCCGGCCAAACTAATTCCGGAACATCGAGAGATCTTAGCTGAGCAGAGAAGAGAATGGGCCCGAGAGAAGGAGAAATTGGAAAAGCAATGGCAGCAAGAAGAGGAAGAGCTTGAACAAGAATTAAAAGAGCTTAAGCAACAGCGTTGGAAACTGAAAGCTAAAAGTGCGGAAATGGATCGGGAGCGTGAATTAGAAAGCGGTGAAAAGAAAGGCGTGGACGCTGATGGTGACGTTAAAATGGATTCGCACGAGGAGAAAACCAGCGAAGCATTGAGAACGGCAGATCAGACCTCTACACCGGAAGAAACCGAGTCCGCACATCACCCATCACACGATGATCACATGGAAGTTGAAACTGCAAATGCTACACAAAATGGCAAGGCTTCGCAGCAACCAGGGACCGATACGTCCAATGTCGATCCCAGCCCCCGAAATAAAGATTCCCCTCGCAGGTCAGTGTCTCCGCGAAAGCAATCATCACCTCGGCGTTCTGCGTCTCCTAGTAAAGCCGAACCCAAAAATGCAGAAACATCTGACGTTTCGGAACAAATTCAAGACCAAAGTGAAACCCAGCAAACAACCAAAGGCGAAAATACCTCATCCTCTCGCAATCCGTCTCCAAACCGAAACCAGACACCCACGGAAGCGACTTCACCCAAGAAGAGTACGTCGCCGAAGAAGGAGCGATCAGTTAGTCCTTCCAAGTCTACAGCGCAAGAAGATTAAGCTGGTGATGGCGATATTGCACCTAGAGCACAAGGGAAGATTGACGTGAAATGTTCGAGCATGTATGTGTCGAATTGAGGGGGCCTAGTGATAAAAATAGTGTCCCGAATATGTTGATAACCTTGTAATTGCTGTATTCTTTTTCATTCTACGTTCGTTGAGTTGTCTTTTTTTTTATCGGTTTTGCGTGATTATGTTTGCCGTTTTACCCCTTTGATATTGTCACTTTCTTTGTTCCAGCTTTTCTCAGTATAAGGTTCCCAACTGAATCGTCAGTTAAGAATTCACTTACTCCATCGTGAATCAACGACATCCTTTATTTGTTCGCCCAACAGAAAATGTCAAACCGAGGTTTCTCGCGGTTTTCTGTTGTTGTCATGTACTGTAGTAAAAATGTTACTAATATAAATAGAATTGTAGCGACATTATAGCTTTGAGAGTCTTCAAACTGGAAATTTGAAAGAGTTATTTTGCCTTTGTCATGGAGTAAGTGTATAAATCTTGAAAGAATTAAAAACTACATTTGTGTGATAGCAACTTCTGAGCAGTTGACTTGGATGGCGCCATTCATAGATTTCTGGGCAGCGCATTCAATTTACCACGTTAATTACCCAAATTCATACCGATGGATTCTGAGTACAAAAGAATTAAGGAAGAAAGAGTGAAGGGACTTACCGGATCCTCCGCATCTGAGATAAACCTTATCATATCAATTGGAATAGTAATAACACCGTTCTTTACTCTGTCTCTGTGCCGCCGTGTGTAAAAACTGATTGATATAATTTTCTCATTATGAACTTTGGCAGTTCTCATGCTATATACATAAACTGATACATAACCGATTTCCCGACTTGGCAAAAGGCCCTCACTATCTCAAATTCCTTATCGATTTTGTAGTCCTCGTATTGCCGCTGATAATCACCATTTGCATACCGTCGTATACTGAGATACCACTCATTATACTCAGTCTTTTCATTATTTATATTTCAAATCCAAGTACAGAATCAACCCCAAATATATCGAGACGTCAAAGTCCACGACTGAGCCGAAATCAAAGACAGGTTGAACTAAAAGATGATGAAAGGGAGCTATTGACACAGTTACAATCTAAAACTGAAAAACCCTTCGTGACAGTGTACAAAGCTTATATCATGGTTATGACTATTGTCTGTATTCTGGCCGTGGACTTTGATATCTTTCCGAGGAGGTTTGCTAAGACAGAAACCTACGGAACTTCGTTGGTTCGTTGACTTGCTTTTGGTGGTGTCTTGTGTTTCAGCTTGTCTAAGATTTTCAATGCTATTAGATGGATGTGGGCGTTGGATGTTTTGTGTTTTCAATGGCAGTCTCTTCAGGCATGAAATTGCACGACTATCATTCTTCGTTATCTCCAAGTTCGACGTCAAATGCGTCCATAATTACTCGATCCATCAAGAAGACGATTCCACTATGGATATTGGGTTTGATAAGATTGGCTACAGTAAAGGTTTCAAATTATCAGGTATGGCGTTAGAGGTGATATGAGGCAATCATTAATTATATTAACAGGTAAACTCATGGAATCGAATCATCTAGGAACACGAAACAGAGTACGGAATTCATTGGAACTTTTTCTTTACCCTTGCGATGCTTCCTGTCGCTTTATCTGTGTGTCGGCTGTTGTATTCGTATATTGGATATGTGTGGATGGGCGGTATTGTCTCTATTGGTAGGTTGAACAGGGTCAACTTGTACTAGTCGGTTTGAACCATAACGTTAACAGCCATTGTTGATCGAACATAGTTTACCAGCTGTCACTACAGTTTGGCTTAACAGATTATATTTTGAACGCTCCAAGAGATAATTTGATCAGTATGAATCGTGAAGGAATTCTTAGCTTTTTCGGTATTGTTTCACTTTTTCACTTATTCCAGTTTTGTTAGATGCTCACAATGCGTTTGTGATAGGATATACTTCAATATTGCTTCACGGAGTCGAAATCGGAATGGAAATTGCTAAACCGAGGTCTTTCAAGCAATGGGAATCGACTCCTGCTCTTTTAGGACGTTATGCGGTAGCATACGGATTATCATATTTCGTAGCTGTGCACGTCTTAGGTATTCCAGTATCTCGCAGAATGGTATGCGGATTAAACGCTTCACCTCATCTATCCAATCGTTTTCAATACTCTGACAACTTATTTTTCTACTCAATCCAATAGGCAAATCTATCATTCATATATTGGATAGCAACATTCAACACTGTTGTGATCATCGCGTTTCTGGCGGTTGAATTGGCCGTCAAAAACTCTTACACACCATTAATTTTCAGAGCTGTCAATCAAGCTCAACTAGCCACATTTTTAATCGTGTTGTACCCCTTTTTCTTTATGCCTCCTTGCTATTGCCGAATTAACAGGACCCGCTTTTGCACTTTCGTCTGTAGGCCAACGTATTCACAGGTTTAATCAACATGAGTATAAACACTTTAACAACGTCTGCCTTTAATTCGTTTTTAGTTATTACAATGTACACTATCGTCGTGACCGGAATATCTGTTATATTGTACTTACGAGGCTGGGTCTTGAGAATCTGAATAAACCGTTAATCTCGTGAAGTCCGGGTAACTCTTATGTCGTATGGCGCCTATCGGACGCCTGGTATCTTTGAGTAATGGTGGATTATGAACTGAGGGGGCCAACAGAACACAGCATCACATACACACGCACGTCGACAATCTTTTGTTAGTGGAATGCTTGTCTAAAAAGTTAGTCAACACTGCCACAATTCCCGTCTACTCGAACCAGAACTCTGCCACAAAATGATTTCTATATGTTTCCGCCCAGATTCGAACTGGGGACCGTCTGTGATCACAGATTAAACTGTTAGACAGACGTGATAACCGACTACACCACGGAAACGGATGAATCGCAGCACTGATAAGCAAATTCATATATCTCAAATGTAGTGTTAGAAAAAACTTGGCGCGCTTCATCCACATCGCATAGCGATTGATATGTGATTTGATTTGATACCATTGGCTTATCTATTCTGGCGCTTCCACTCGACTCGAAAGACTTTAACATTATAATGCATTGTGGGCGGTCTCCTCACGTTTCTGGTTAGCCGATGTAATCTCGTCCATTTCGTGCGCTTTTATAGTAATGGTTCTCCTTTTTATAAGACCCGACTTTAAATAAAGATGTATAATTGATTTAAAGGCAAATCATGCTTTGCAATATTAACTTTTTAGTCTATGTAACTTAAAATGATTTTTAACAGCCCGAATTCTGGGATGACCGAGAAGGCCCAAGAAGAGAAGCATCTATATCTCTGCAGTCATGGCAATATGAGGAATTCCTTCTTCGTAAAATATCGTTTCGTCATGACATTTGTAGCCACAAGATTCGTAAAATTTCCGTGCTACACATTGAGCGTGGATCATGACGAGTTGGATTCCTTGTTTTCGAAGAACATTGTGGCCTTCTTGAACTAATATCTTACCGTAACCTGATTGTAACAGAGTAATTTAAGATATTCAAAATAAAGATCCCTTAGATTTGAGAATTGAAACGGAAATAAAAAGACTGAAATCGATACCTTTTCCTCGCTCTTCTTTTAAAACAGCTAACCGTCCTAACTTTCCGTTCCGCTGCCAATTGTTATTCTCTTCTTTACGCTCAGCCCCGTCGCCTTTAATGTAGACTCTAACAGTTCCGATTACTTTATCCTCTGATTTACCAGTCAAGGCTGAACTCGAATGTTGGATCAAAAGAACGTGAGTTGCTGAATCGTCTATTTCATCGATTTCATTATCCGGATTTACTTTCTGAATGGTTTTAAATTGAATAGGGGATGTCAAGGTGGCATAAATTATATGGATAGATGGTAATGGTTCTAGTAGAATTGGAAATTTCCAATTACCTGCTCATCGACAAATACTTTGAATCGAACGTCATAGGCTTTTTGACGTTCTTCAAGTGTAGAAACGATTTTGGTAGTGACAGTTGAATTGGGATGGGCGGTTGGAACTGTCATTGTAATTGCTTATGAATATGTAAATAAATGATCAGAGACTTTAAGATATAGAAGAAGTATTCATGTCAAAAGTCCGGATCAAAGTTTCCGAGAACCTCCACGGCCGAGTTGTGCCGATTATCTGCAAGTTTTTAAACTCACTCCGCAACACATCTACGAAGTTATAACAACAAAGTTCTGCCAACTCAACGTAGTATTAACTAGATTTATCTGTACCGTTGCAATGCCGATTCTTCCGCCCATCAACTTCACTTCATGGTTGCAAGAAAACTCTCATCTGCTGAAGCCGCCTGTCAACAATTATTGTATTCAGAGAGGTGACTTTATCGTGATGGCTGTTGGTGGACCCAACAAAAGAACTGATTACCATGTTAACGAAACAGAGGTTTGAATCAATGTTTTCTCCTTGGGAAATTGCTCTCACGATCGTTTGTGCTATCGTTCCGACCGGAATGGCGGGCTATGGATGAGTGGTGGCTGAATCAATGTATTTTGTGTTGGGCATTGAACGAAATTAATTATTAATACAGGAATGGTTTTACCAATATAAAGGCGACATGTTGTTGAAGGTAGTAGAAAATGGAGAGTTCAAGGATATCATTATTAAAGAAGGAGAGATGTTCTTGTTGCCTGGTATGTTCAATTCGTTAATAAGCGGCCTGGCCCGCTTTATCATTCAGGCTGCGTTCTCGAGTGTGGCTTTGCAGACAGCAATAGTATTGTTATGATATATTAAGTGTAATTTCTGAAGATGGCTCTAACTATGATCATTCTGCATGTTCTGGCCGGATCATCATCATGGCTGACTTTAGGTAATACGCCCCATAATCCAGTGAGGTTCGCTGATACTGTAGGCATAGTCATTGAAAGGAATAGAAGACCAGAAGAAATCGGTATGCTTCTCTAAGCTGTTATACGCTTTTATTACTAAACCGAGATTGTAATGATTGTGTCGTGATCTAATTGAATTTTTGCTATTTTGCTGCTTTACTGGCCTTCTTTCTGCTAATGACTGCTCAAATCGACGATTCATTTCAATTGTTTATGAAATCAGACCGCTTGAGATGGTACTGCGAAAAGTGTCAGGAAATAGTGTATGAAGAATCTTTTCACTGTACTGATTTAGGAACACAATTGAAGCCCGTTATTGAGAAATTTGCCAATACGGAAGAATTGAGAAAATGTAAAAAGTGTGGATTTATGAATGTCGCCAAATAATGACACGGTACTTTTGATGAGGCTTTATCAGAATATTAGAAATGATGCTTGATTTTACGACATGTGTTGGGGCTGGTGGCAGCCAAAGTTTACAGTAATAGAATTCTCGTTCAGGTGCCTTCTACATGCAGGTAGATGTTGTGAACTGTTCTGATATTGTAATTAAATATATTGCGAGTTTGTAATCTGTAGAGTTCCAGTGTAATCGAGTTTAAGAGTGCAAGAAATTGTGAAAATTGTGAGGTCTGTAGAAAAAAAAAAGCCTAAAAAAACTCGTGATTTGATTGTCGTTCTTAAAAATGACTAGGGATATCGGCGTCAGCGGAATTGAGAGGGAAATCTTTCGCACAGGAGTGTGAGCAGACGGTGGGAATACTATAACATATACTCGGTAATGAATGCACAGAGTGTACATCATAGGTAGTGCTAGATTGTGAGTGTATGTTGTAGTTTCGGTGATAAATCGAATAAATTGATAAGATAATAATGCGGCAAGTTCAAGCCCGTTCCCTTCGCAATTCCATTCATTCCTCATTCCATCCATCGCTGAGTTATATCTTTCGCAGCATCTCAGAAACATATCTCATCCGCCCTTTCGCACACAGCACTCTCTCTCACTACTGATATCCGTCAGTCGATATCCCGCCTCCCGTCTTGTCCTGCTGTCCCGTCCTCCCTCTCGCCAGTCCCGCATTCGCCTATTATCTGCCAATACCACTAGTGTATCCATACCTGTCGCACTCTCATCTCTCAACCTGTATCCCCATTACACTGCCTCACTCTGCATTCTCTGCATTCAGAAAAACTTATTCCACTAATTAAATAATTATATGAACTAGTCATATTCATTCGTTAAATATGCCAAGAACAAGGTATGTCATATCTGCTCGATTTTGCTCCCTCCTCCTGGACGAAATTGTCCACAACAGCAGCAGCCCCTAGCCAACTATTAGCATCGGCATTGTCTAGTTCATATGATGAGAGTGGCTATGATCTGGTACTCTCTTTGAGTACAAAGATTATGGGATATAACAAATTCATAATAGTGTTGTTTTGTGGGTGCCATCGCCTGTTTACCACGAGTTGTGGGATAAATAGCTTTTAGTTATCTTAGCAGCACTTGGTAACGATTCTGTGGTTTGGCGAAAGTGGATATATACACTTTTATGAATTTCGTGGATAGCTGAAATTGGTTGTCGCATGCTATGGCAGTGAATTTCGTTCGCTCTGCTCGGCGACACTGGATATGTTGCTGCTGTTGTGTGATTGACTAACGAACTACTCGTTACCTTATTTGAATCTAACTCTCAATTATTTCATTCCCTCCTTTATCGTTATACTTGCAAACGAAACACGAAATTTTCACCCAACCACTGTTCTGTGCTGCAAACGAATGGCCCGATACGACTGACAATCACACTTTCATGTTTCTGATTTGACCTTCAGTAACAAAGCCACCATACGAGAGATTAATGAAGCCACATTTCGTTATGATCCATACAGAGGATACTGTCTCTCAGTCAGGATAAAGAGAGATGGTGAAACTGAGTTTACCAAAGAATACTTCAGTCAAATGGGTACATAAAGCTATCTTCTATCCCTTGCGTAGCCATCTACTTAACCATTATGTACTTTCAGGCGAGCGAGATAAAATGACACTGTATAAAATTGTGAGTCCGTTTGACAAAGAAAAATGGGGCAAGATTAAGAAGTATATTGCCAAGAAATTGTTTAACCAAGTATGTCATTAGCGCTCATTGATGGTTCTTACATCTGCTGATTTTGTTCAATTCTCTCATTATTTGTTATAGATTACCTCCAGCAAACTTGATAAGTTTGCACGTGATATGAATTTTGGATTCAAACAGCAACTAGTGACTGATATAGGAGACGGCACTATTCCAGATTATGAAAAGTTGGTTGAGTTAGCAAAGGGAGCTCCCCTTACGGATGCCGAAGATAGCATTATTGGTGGGTAGATTATGTCATCTTTATATGCTGCATTCACTATTCCTGATGCGCCTTTTGAACTGTAGAGGATGCAGAAGTGGAAATGGATCCCGACGACACAATCATCACAGAAGCGGACGAATTCGAATCTGATACCGGTTCTGCCCGTGCTTCACCTATTCCTAATCAGTTAGCACTCGATGGTAATTCGGAATCCACGCCGTCAACGCTTCGACATCTGTTGAACAATCATCCTAAAAGTCCGAGTCTCCCTCCGGTTGAACCGTCTCCACAGACGACCAGGGATGGTTCGAATCCAAATCAACAGGGAGCTAATATCAGTAGTTTACGCATGCTACTAAATGAAACGGAACCCAATCATACACCCAATCCGCCCGATTACTCGATATCATCACCTGAAAATAATTTACCATATGAAAGCAATGGTACGAGTTCTTCAAGACCTCATGAATTTGCAGTGCCTGCTTTACCACAGGATAAGGAAAAAGACGCACCGAGTTCTGTACCTAGAAAACGGAAGGCTCTATTTGTAGATGATGAAGATATTGACATTGAGTTGAATGAGCCCTTGGTTCTACGTGTAACTGGGTCGGATTTGGCAAAACGGTCATCTACTCCAAAAAGGCAACTGATAAGTAATCCATCATATATGGTAAATGGCTCTAGCCATAATGGTGCGACAAGGGTGCTCCCC